GCGCCGCGAGGCGCGCCGGGAAAAGGCGGCGGGAGGCCGCGCGACTACAACTCCCAGCGTGCCCCGCGCGGGGCGGCCGTTAACGGTCCCCGCGCCCCGCCCAAAATGGCGGCCCCGCCGCCACAGCCACACGGCACAGCCCATGCACAGATGCGGTTTATTCGGTCAACAGCAAAGGGCTCGCCGAGCGGGCGGGCCGGGCCCCAGCCGCGCCTCGCGCTGCCTTCGCGGCCCTGGCTTTAAGGAGGTCGTGGCTAAGTAAACTCAAGGCTGGTAGAGCAGTTTTAAGACAGAGCTAGGGTTGTTTATACAGTACGTGAGTAAACAGAGGAGGGGGAGGAAAAAAAAAAAAAAGCAGGACAACCAGTGATTTCACGGACCGTCATTTCCAGGTCTGCCTGCCTCACAGTGCTCTATTTACATAAATTACAGAAATTTCATATATATTGTTCTCTGCAGCCCAATTAGACAAATAGCTACCTCTCTATAATATAAAAAATACAAGGTTTTGGCTCTTCCTTTTGAAGTAAAATGTACATGATGCAACTGTGAGCAGGAGTTAAACCTGAAGACTCAGGCCTGTTGCTACTGAAGTTAACACTGCACACAACACCGCCGTCGAGCGCCTTCCTCCCCAGCCCGGCTAGCGCATCACCCCAACCCCAACAGGAAAAAAAGAAAAAAAATTCAAAACATGTTTTCATGAAAAAAAAAAAAGTTTTCAAGTAAGGATGAAGATGGGTTTCACCATTTCACACTTCGCGACATCAGTCAGTAGCAATGCAAACAAAGCCTGTGCAAGGGCAGCTGTGCTTGCTCTTTCAAAAGCCACCCAAGCAGCCCACCCTTTTCAGAGTTACCATCTTTGGGGTTTTGGTGCCTTTTTTTTTTCCTTGTAAATATCACTAACAGTTCTTCAAAAGAAGAAAAAAAAAAAAGAAAAGAAAAATCTAGACAAAGGGAACAATCCTTCCCCGGAAAGTCTTCCCAGGAGGGGGAGACTTTCCCACTTCTTGTGCATTTACAGTATATTTCAAGGGAACTTGGCCCAGGTCCAACAGGACTGTCCCCTGAAGGAGGGTCGCAGAAAGGCCAGGGCTAAACTTGGCTCTTGGCAAATTAGAGTCTTTAATAAAGAGTAACATGTGCAAAAAAATTAAATAGATCAACCCGGGTTTTCAGAATTACTGCTGTCAGAATGCTTACTTTCTACTTGTGTTCTTACCCAACCCAATGCTGAAATTTCCAATTAAGTACCCGAGGTAAAAAGTGACATTTGGGAGAGACCACCAAAAAAAGAAAGAGGTGCAATCTGTTACCTCAGTGTCCTTCCTCCACCCAGATGCCTGCTTTAAAGACACATATGCAGCAGCAAAAAGAAAAAAAAAAATAAGTGTAAGAACATCCCCTTCTCTCCATGAGGACAAAGCACTGCTTCTAGTTGTTTCTGAAGGAAGAATTGTTTCCTAACAGGTGGAGTGGGTGTTTAGCCTTCCATTTGCAAGGAGGAGGGGTGGGACCATCAGCTGTTCCCAGTTGCTTCTTGGCAAGTTTGTGGTGTTCCTTGCCCCTCTGGGCACATTATAGCTGGAAACCTTCCATGGGGGCTTCAGGTTGCTGGAAGATGAATTGCTGCTGGTTCTCGTCTACCTGGGGAGCTAGAGCGGAGTCATCCTCTACTCCAAAGTAGTGCTCAATCAGGTCGAAGGCCTTCTGGTAGATCTCCTGGTTCTCGTGGCTCTGCAGGAACTCTATCTTATCCAAGCCTTTAGGGAAGAGAAAGGTGGCATGCAATGAGACAAGGAGATGCTAGTGTTTACACTGCCCACATCCATCCCTGCTCCTAATTCAGGACACGGGAATCCAACACTGCTGCCTGTGTTAAACTTGCATTTTGTCAGCAGCACGCTGGCATCTAAGACTAGCTCTTCCTGTTGCCTCAGAGCTCCTTGGAGATTTTCTCTGTATCTCCTTACAGCAGCAGGTTTAGCTGATGCAACTAAAGCAGATTTGATCACAGCTTTCTGCTGCAGACTAAACCGAAGTCAGTGGAATTAATGCAACAGGCCATGAATGGTTTGATGGTCCTGGAGTTGGAAAGGGAAAGAATTAGGCTCTGACCCACTAGCCTCCCTCCAACTGAATGGCAGTGACTGCTTTAACTCTCCAAATTAAACCCACTGCTGAAAAGGAAACATCCAAGCCACAGTACGCACTTGGAAGTCCGAAGAATTGCTCTCACCAGGAGAATCAAAACCACTTCCCAAGCTAATTTGGAACAGAATGCCTTGTCTGGTATATATTTAAATGCTGAGCAGAAATGAAGCCAATGCAATCAGCACCTGCCAACATAATCTTTGTTTTTCAAAGTCAACAGCAGCAAAGTCATCAGCCCCAACCTACCGTAGGCCTCCTCGATCAGGCTGCAGTAAGGGTTGATGCCTGTCCCGCTCTGATTAGCCTCCTGCTCCCCAAGCCTCAGTATGTTCTCCAGGCCATTCAGTGCCACCTGAACAATCTTTGAGTCCATGACAGTCAGCAGGTCACAAAGGGGCTTGATACAACCCAAGTTCACCAGGTATCTACGAGGAGAGCACCAAGAACATACACTCAGCTTTCAGAAGAGCATCACCTTCATTCATTTAGAAAAACTCAAAACAATGACTCACATTAATGTTACCTAATAATATAGGAGGATGTTTTACTGTTTTACAAGATTTACTTTGCAATTCCCAAAGACAAAGCTGCCATGCATGATGATTTCCCCCAAAGAGAGCCTTCAGGAGTACCTGATCTGCTCTGGTGTTCCTCCTGACGTTGCATTTGTAATAGCCCACGCTGCCTCTTTCCGTGTACGGAACTCTGCTTTCTGTAAGATTTCTATCAGCACCGGGAAAATGTTTGCATCTATGACTGCCTGGGGAGAGAGAACAGTAAGGAGTGTTGGAATGGGCAACATGGTTTCCAAAAGGAGCTGAAAAAACCCTAACTCTACTTTCCAATAAACTGTTTAGGCTAAAACTTTTAAGCAATCCCTGCATTTTATTCCTCTAGCAAATCCCATTAACATAGGCTACTCAAGTCCACAATTAACACAGTATTATTGCATCAGTACTGCAAAAGTCTTTCATTTTATCTGCTTTTTTATGCTGGCCATTAAAAGGCCAATTAAATCTCAACAAGCTACTTTTTTTTTTAAACAAGGTATCTCTAATTGAGCAGGGAAAACCGTGATCTTTATGCCCTTTTCTTATTTCAATGATCCCACAAGGGGGACTCATTTCAGGACTAGTCTTTGTAGGTACAATTAACACATTTTAGCGGTTTTATCTGACTGACAGCTAGTAGCAAGCTGCCTCCAAAACCACCTTTAGAACAGGTAAGCGTTTGCAAACTTTTCCTTAACACTGAACTTGAAGTCCAAGGTCACTACACTTGAAATGGAAATATCTCAAAGTTGTACCTGTATTTGCGCTCTGTTTCCTGCTGCGATGTTAGAAATTGTCCAGCAGGCTTCTTTCCTAATTGACTCCTTAGGACTGCTTAATAAGTGAAGGAGACAAGGCAGTGCTGAGCAGTTCAAAATCACCTTATAAAAAGGAAAGCAGAAGCGAGGTCATTGGTATGAAGTACAGAGCCTTTTTTTTTTTTTTTTTTTAAATACAGTCTTTCAATTTTCATGAAGCAGATATGGGTGTTGCTTTTCCCTCCCTGATCCTTTCAAATAGGGGAGGACAGGTACTGCTATTACGTAGTTGTTAATAAAAGGTACAAAAGAAGCACTTTGCAAGATACATAGGAGATGGGACAGTCAGCCTTGCTGAAGATCCACTTAAAAAAACATACAAAACCAAAACATCCCCAGCACATGCATTTAAAGAAATAGAGAGAAAAGCAAATATGTTGCTCTGATGCACTTTGCTGCTCAAAGCTTGCTGCAGCAGTCTCACTAAACCACGCTGAGGAAAAACAGACTGCTGCTAACTAAAGTGCTCATGTTGAAAGAGATCTGATACGTAAGAGATATACTTTCTGACAGGTATAAGTACATCAAGAGCTGTACTCTTCTTTAGCTGCATCTGTGACATGTCCCCTCACCTGGGTCTGGATGTCATCTCCGGTCACGATGTTGCCGACGGCTCGCAAAGCTGGGGAGGCCACTTTGTAGTCATTGTGCCTGCAGAAGAGATGATGCAGGGATAAAAACAATTCTGAGAGCACCTGAATCTAAGAAATTCTCTCTTCAGTTTCTCACCTGCATAATTTAAGAGTTCCACCCCCTAGAACACAGAGCATGCGCTATGGACAGAAGTTTACCACAGGATAACAGACTGAATATAAACTTGTGACAGGATGCAAGAGATCATCTTTATCTCATTAAGATGACCCCTTCCTGAGGGGTCATATCTGACCCTCCTCCTGAGCACAGCTGTTGTTCATCTAGTGAAAACACACAGATTGTTTTGCAGGAGAGCTCTGGAAACAAGCAGCTATTTGTTCTATCAATTCTCAAAGTTTAATTAAAAGAGAAGATGCCCATGTATTCACACTGCAGACAGAAAAGATTTTTGTCCAAGTTTCCATGTAGATATCAAAAAGACAAAGCCGAGTTGGCTTTTGCTAGACAGTTCTTATTGTCTGATTTGTCTAGTGACTAGGCTTCCATGAGCACATTTGTAAAGTCTGAGAGCATGAGACAAACTATGTTAATCAGCACAATACTCTGCTTTCACAGAGCAGCCCAAGTGTCAGTCCGGGCTTCTGTTCATAAGTTCTTCCCCTCATTAATAGCATTAATTGATATTCCAGTGCTAAAATATACAGTTTCTCTCAGAAAAGCTAATACGCTACAGCCTGCATCGGATCCTAACATTAACTTCCCCAGGCTTAGCTGAGGTATTTGAATAATCCTAGATAGTGCCTGAACTCTGTGCCCACCAGAAACAGCAATTGCACTGTTGCAAGTTTTGGCAAGGACACGCTCAGCCACACGCTACCCCTGCTCAGTGCTTCAGCCCCGAGAGACAGGATACTTACATTAACAGCTCCACCAGTCGTCTACACACACCAGAGTCGATAACTGCTTGGATTTTCTCATTTGGGCCATCTGATAAATAGGAAAGAGCCCAGCATGCATCTGCCAGCAAGTCAGAGTCACTGTTGAATAATAATCGGGACAACACTGGCAGGCAGGGAGATACCTACAACAACAGCAGCCACCCGGGAAGATTAGTCACGTTCTGTCAAGGACCGCTGCATTTGCACGTAAACATCATGCGGCTAGGCCGGCTGCTAAGATAAGTGTTGAATGTCCACATTTCCTTCCCCAAAGTCAGCAGCTTCCCAGCTGGTTTGCAGGGCTCAAAATCTAAGATTGCCTCAATGGCTTTACTACAAAACTAAAATTATACCCCTTCTTCTTGGGCTCAGTCTAGACTTTAGAGACAAGTGCTGCTGCCTAAGTAGCTCAGTACACAGAGCTGCAACCATCAGGAGTTGCACCTCTGATTACTCAGCCTATTTGCAAGTGTCTTTATTTATCATCAATTCAGATTTCAAACCTTACTGCAGGCTCTCCAGCTTTGACAAGTGAACTTTCCGGTGAAATACATGTTAAGACATTTTAGTTCTATCAAAATAGAACGGGACAGATCTGAATAGCCAGCAAAGCCCCTTAACTTTGCCTTTCCTGCTGGGCCACTGTCCCTATCACAGCTTATAGAGTCCTGTTTTGTAGCATTTACATGTCTCAGAATTAGGTTTTAACCATTATTTGAGACGAAGCCTGACTTCCAGAGTCCATCACGAAAGGGCTCCAAGAGCCCAGAGCAGAAGACCTTGAACAGAAGTCAGCGTTCACCCCCTGCTTGAACAGCCTGGCTAATAAACTGTCAGCTAAGGGATGTTAAGAGGTTGGCAAAGAGCTAAGTGGGCATTCAAATACCTGCTAAACAGTGAGATCTCAATCTTAGCAGGAAGAAACTCATCCTAGCGCTTCCTGAAATGGCTTAAGGCTAACTGCAAGAAGTAGTTTGCACTAACATCTTGCCTGGGTGTCTCCCTGTCAGCTACCTGACAAGGAAGTATCTATTCTCACCTTATCAAATTCAGGTGGTGGATTCTTTCCTCTGCACAAGTTCGACAAGGCCCAGACAGCATTTCGTGTCATCGTCAACCTGGTGGACTTCGTAAGAAGCCTAAAGAGACAGTTACCACGAATTATAGCCTTAGTGTGGAAAGCCAGAAGTTTAACAACTTAAGTCATTTGTTTACCAAAGACAGCCTAATTTCCCTCCCTGCCAGAAGGGCAATAATACTTGAGAGCATGCTCCCAAGAAAGACACACCATACTAGCTGCAGACAGAAGACAACATGCAGAGACCTGCTCCCCTTTCTCAGTCCTTGGGGAGCCCTTTCAGACAAGCTCCTGAAACTCAGAGCGTAAGCACGAGGAGCAGGAATCCAGAAGGACACACACTGAACCGGCAAGCCCCATGACTTCGGAAAGACAAGCACACTGCAAGGGCCCTCGCTTCAGATTCAGAGCAGTATAAAGGTTTGTGAGAAGGCATGTTATCTACCAAGTCCCACTCTATCAGATATTGCCTGAACAACTGCCAGTTGATCTGTTCCCAATGGCCTGATTCCCAGTAAACACTGACACACATTGCTAGGGAACCTATTCACCCAGCACGCACATTGCTCTGCTGAAGTACAATGGGACTTCAAGAACTGTGTTGGCAAGTGTTCATGGCTACTCACATTAACAAGGGAGGAAGAATAGCGCAGTTAAGGACATAATCTCTACACACAGAGCTGTCTCCAGCAATGTTGCCCAATGCCCAGACAGCCTGAAAGGAAAGAGCAACAGTTTTAGCATTCACAAAGTCTCTACACAGAGGAAGAAAAGGGCAGTGTGCTAGGAAGGCATTTTCCTATTACTTCAGATAACTGATACTTAAGTTCACAGTCTGAAGCCAATTGTTAGATAGAATTCACTTTGAGCACTTCATTTTAATTGTGTAGTTGTGGGGGTTTTTTTAGGAGTAGGAGTGAAATCCTGAGCCTTACCTGTTCTTGAACATCCTCAAAGTCAGAGTTTAACAGCTCTATAAAAATAGGAACGGCCCCAGCCTCAATTACTATCTTTGTTTGTTGGGAGGTTCCTGATGCAATATTCGTCAGTGCCCAGGCCGCTTCAAACTGAAACGAGCAAATAAACAAATAGGCATGAATAAAAAGCCAGACAGCAAGATACACACCACTGAAGTTTAGTTGTGGGGTTTTTTTGACCTCTATTAAATATAAAGGTTGGGACAGGGGGATATTACTCCACGAAATACCTCAGTACCTGAGATTTTACTACCTGAACAAAAACATGTCTCCTAAATTTCGCAGAGGCCATAACTTCTCAAAAGATTAACTAGTGAAAGCACCATCAGTCACAACAGTCATCTCACTTTTATGACACTTTCTAGTATGACAATTGAAAATAGGTAGCCTAGAAACACACATGAAGTAAAAAGTTTCCCCCATCCAGGGCAGACAGCTAGTGTTAGTCCACCCTCTGTCTGGCTAATACTACAGAGATGCCTTAAGTTCAAGTGAAGTCGAACAACAGGTTCTCTGCTTTTGTTGCTCATTCATTACTTGATTTAAATATAGATTTCCATCCAGTTCTCCTTGAAGGTAATGCCATATGACATAAGGTCTTGGGCTAGAGGGCAGGAAGGAAGATTATCATCAACTCTGACATCAAATCCCATGTATGGAAGTACATGGCCCCCACAAAGTAACTATAGTTATTACCACACTGGAAGGAATCTCAAGAAACCATCTAATCCATCCCTCTGACCCACAGCAGGACCAGTTCTACTTAAACTGTTCTTAAAAGCCTTCCAATAATGCAGATTTTTCCCTATCTAATTTATTCTTGGTCTTAAATCTACCAACACAAAGGCCAGGCACAGAAAAGCCAAGCTTTTTTTCTGCTACAACTCAGAAAAGATTTCTAGTCCTACCTCAATGTGCAGGGTATGTAAGTGATCTATTCCTGGAAGAATACCAGCAAAAATGAGCTTAGGGCCAATTTACAGTTGCCTCTTCTGCCTTTTTACTAGCTTTACATGCCGTCTTTATCTTTTCACATCCATGATATGATCTGCATCTCCTGGGTTCTAGACAGGGCTCTTCCCTAATGGCACTTGTGGGCTCACGTTGCCCAACTGTGAAGGCAATGGTTACACACCACAAAGAATTCATACCACAGTCTCCCTTACCTGTAGTGTGCAATTTTCACTTCTTTTCAGGAATTCCACAAATCTGTCCACCACTCCCTGAGTGTTTATCACTTCATCTATTGGAGGATTTGGCTCTGAAATAGCAAGGCAGTGTCACAACAGCACATAGGCCTAATACAGAGGACTAAACAAGCATGGGCTATTATGGAAGTGAATGGCTCAAGTTGTAGTCAACTTACCTTTGGACAGTAGCTTCCTGAATTTCTGGGTGGTTGCTAGCTGTAGATCAGGGTCATCTGAGAAAAGCATCTCTACCATCTCTCTTGTAATCACTCCCTCCTGAAAGGGCAGAAAGGGGAGAGAACCACTTCATTCCATACCGAGGGCTTGCAGTCGAGACCACCTATTGGATTCCTACTTCAGCACAAAACCAACAATTCCTAACTCCAGATTACAGCCCGCTATTTTCCTTCCTGAAAGATTCTTCCAGATCATTATAGGAAGACTTGCAGGGAAAACAAAAAGGTAAAGCTTGTCATTTGCATGCAGTACTCAGCATTAAATCCATCCGACGATGTGATTGCGACAAGGAAAAGACACCTTACCCCACATGTTGTGGAACTGACATAGGAGTCCACAAGAAGGCTATCAAACATGGAAGCATCTTCATTAATCAGTTCCACATTTCTCCTTTTGAAGAGCTACAGGGAAAAAAAACCTCTTTATTAGAAAGTAATAATGAATAGTCTTTATAACTAGATATTCTTGTTCCACAAATAGGACACTGTCAGCTAGACTAAATGCATCCTGAGTAGAGAAGTAGTCATTAATAATAATAGCTCTGCACTCTGAAGCTTGGCATACCACCTTTGATAACAACAGAAAGAGAGTCAAGTTTTGCCTTCGAATATGTAAATATCCCCATCACTGAAACACTGATATAGACCAAGGCAGAATTGAGCCTGACAAGCTCAGGAAACTAAGGAGAAGTCAGCTTGTAGATGACACACTAATAGGGTAAATATTTAGTGAAAGCTAAACACATCACTGGAAAACATCTCGGTTTCAGAGACCTCCAAGCTAAAAACACAGCTCAGAGTTGAGAAATCCTTTCAGCCAATCCTCATTTAATTTTCCTGCTGCTGGAGGAAGCAATGCTATCCACTAATGGATCAAAAAAGTCTTAAAAAGCAAAGATCCACAAACAAAAGCCTCTAGCACCCCAGGACCAGGGAGCCTGAAGTGCTCCTGATGTGAACTACAGTCTGTACTAGACGCACAGCAAAAGAAGACAGGAAAAAAATCTCAGCTGAAAAATAAGACTGCCAGCATGTTTTTATAGACTGGAACCCTCAAGGGTCTGTGTAACAGGAGCACATTACCAATCGTGTCCAAGCTGAATGCAAGCTAGTTAAGGCGAGTTACCTGTTGTTCTCGCTTCTGTTTGCGCAGTTGGATGCCTTCCTCTTCCCTTCTCCGTCGCATTTCCTCAGGATTTAGAGCTTTATTCTTATAACTCTTCATTCGATAGTTATCCTTTGCAGGGCTCGCCATGGTTTCTGTAAAAAGAAGAGTATTTGCTTTAGATTTCTTTTCAGCCTCCATTCTATAACCCACCTGCCCTCCTCAGCCTGCACATGTGAGACCAGAATTGGAACAGTCAGATCGAACAGCCTTTTAGATTAAAACCAGTCTCTCAAATGCAGAAGTTTTAAATTCAAATGAGATTCCATCCTTAGTTCATGTGATATGTAAAGACAAGAATATTATAAAGTTTCTAGGAAGTACAGGGGTAGATTTATTGCTCTGGAAACACCATGACCTGACTTCAAGATGAAGTACACCACCCATATGAAAGACTTTACTAAACAGCTTCATTGTCCTCCACACACTCGGCCTCCACCAGCGTTTTTCGCAGAAATTGGGTCTCTGCTATCATGCCATAAGTCACATCTTACAGATTCTTCTCCAGATTCCAAGGCCTAATGAAGATCTGGCAAGAAGTGGGTTGTCAGTCACCACAGCTACATCAGCTTCAACATTTTAGAGGAGCCCATGAAAACATCCAAACTTGTACGCGTGGCAAAACCAAGACAAATCCCAGCAGCCTCGACCACAGGCTGCTTGAAGAAAAGCTGTAGCAGAGCAATCTGGTGGGACAAACATGGCCTCAGCGTTTGGTTTGTGACCTACTTATTTCGCTGCTTCATATTTATCTGATAAATGCAGCACTTCAAGCTTGATTACTTGCTATTTCCCTCCTAGTCACGGAGGTGACACTCCACTATTTGGCAAAGTGGGAGCGACCAGGATCAAGCAGTAACTTGAGCACAAGAGGGTATCACTGCTTCACTGCATCCAACCGTGGCCACTGCTTTGGCCAGATCCACTTCTTTTTGCCTCTTCCCCAAAGCTCCCTTTCTCCAATTTACACAGCAGACCGGTTGGCTTCATTTTCGTAACCTTCGAAAGACAGGAAGGACACAATTATGACGGACAGTATCAAAGGGCCAATTAACCTGGTGAACAACAACTTACTTGACTCTGCCAGTCTGCTGAATATCAATATTTTTGTTTTCCTCCTCCTGCCCTTAGCCCTGGGAAAGTCTGCACTGCTATCTCGTTATACCCTTTCTTTCAAACTTGGAGCCCTCCTCAGGCACATTGCTTACCGAAAATTTACCTCTGTTATCAGCTGCCTCCAGCCTTTCTGGAAGCATCCCAAAAACGAGTAGAAGTTTCAGAGCTCCCTGCCCTGCCACAGGAAAGCCCACAGCCCTGCCAGGGCTTAACAGACACGCAGGCAAGGCATAAAGACCCAAAGCTTCATTGCCACGGGAAGAGAAAGTCACTCAAGGAATTCACCTGTTGACATGAGAGGCAACAAAATATTTTGTTGTACCATTTCAGAGAAATAACTGAGAGAAAGAAGACTAAGTATTATGAGGGGGAAAAACAATACTTCATAGCATGTTTTCTAAGAGGGCACCCCCTTACCTAGCCAAGGCATCAAGAGGCTGTTCTTGGGAAGAAACGATGGAAAAAGGCACCTTTTTCCAGGAGTGCTGCCAAGATCCCAGGTCCTCTGGTCACTTGTGCTGGAGCAGAGAGGCCCAGCCCTGGCCCCGGCTGCCCAGAGCTGCAAAACCGTTTTGAAGCCTGGCAAGCGGCAGCCGGAGACGGCACGAGGCTCGAGGATGATGCAGCAGGATGAGCTGTGAGTTTATTGGCAACCCTGAAGCCTAAAATACCAACCAAACTCACCAGCAAGAGCAGTATCTCAGTGCACACCGTTTTCAGCAGCCTGCTTCAGACGCACTCAACTTCAGCATTTGCTTCAGCATGTGCTTAAACGACCAGAATTCATAAGAAAAAGTGACTCTGTCATCTCAAGCACCACTAAGGAAGCAGTCTACAGTCTCAAAAATAAAAGATAAGACAAAGCAGCGGCCGAGGATCACTATGCAACTATGCAACTCCCACTCATCCATCCCTCTTCCCAGTAGCCCTTTTTGCCAAGATTGCAGGGAAGGCATCTTATTTACTGCATAACTCAGAGAAAAATCTAGGGGAAAATATAATAAATATAGGCTTTAGGGGGTTGTATCTGCTCTTACAGCAGCAAAATGCCACCTACACACAGATTTTAATTCAGGAAATACTTAACTCCTGCTGCTTGTTCCATAGGTTTAAGTGTTCCTATTACCACCCAGCACTAATGGCTCTTACATCCACACAAAAGAGTAACAGTCGCTAGTTTAATTCAGAAAGATTACACGAGATTCACCAGGCAGACAAATGTGTAACCGCCCTTTGCAAGGCGAGGTCTCCAATTTAGAGGCAGTTTTAAGAAAGGGAGGAGTAAAAAACAATTAAGTGGGTTAATGCTATATACAGGATTAGCAGCCAGTCAGTCATATAAATAGCTAAGTGCCACATGACAGCTCAGCTGCCTGGGAACTTGCACAATCCCCCTCGGCTCGGGCCCAGCTGCGCTGGGCTCCTTGCAGGACAGAGCCCAAACCCTGCTGTGCTGCAGGGAGGCCCCAAAATGCAGCCCCCTTCGTGTCAGCTGGATAAGGGGACCCCGCTGGGCTGGGGGGTACCCGGCTCCTGATTTCCTATCACGCCTTGCACACATTTACCGCTTCGGATGCTGCTTTTTCCACGCTGTCATCTGCCTCAGCACTTCAATGGGATTGGAATTTGTGACACTACAATCTAATTCCTATGGAAACAGATGAATGTCACAAACGCAGGATTATGATTCCACTGTGAGCTCAGCAGATGCCGTAGGCAGCCCAGACTGCAGCAAGCACAAATCTATGAAAAACAGAACAGGAGGAAGATGCCAAGCACATACGAACTCTTGATTCGTAGCATTTCAGTACAAAACATCTAATAATTCGGTATATCTGCATGGCAGACTCCAGTGTAAAGTCACATTCTAGCAGTGTAAACACCTAGAAAACCATCACATAAGTCACAACTGGAGTAATTTGGATTTTATTGTTAGGAAAAGTCATCACCTACTCGTAGAGGAGGGATGCTCAGACAGCGCCCCAGCCACTGGCCTTCACTTTGCATTTTAACTTTGAGCTGTTTCTGCCTTCAAAGAAGAATTCTTGATCACAAGAGGGCCATGCAAACCTAACTAGACCAAGTTTCTCCTGGCCAAAAGCTCTAAGCTTTTGTGGCCACATTTAGGGAGCTGCTCTAACCTCCAAGAAGTGCTCTCCTCTAAGAGAGCATCTTAAACCGCACTTCTCCTAGGAAAGGATTTTCTCCCTTAAAAACCTGCTAAGCCCTACCTTAAATCAAGCTAGGATCGACTCACAGCCTGGAATTCCGACGCTATTCTGCTGTTATTCCAAGCAGGACTCCGAGCTTACCTGTGGCACTCAATAAACTACACGAGGGGAGCAATTGTGGTGGAGCCACGGGCTGCTGGCGAGGGTGGCCAGCCACCACAGCCCTTGGCAATAGGCACCAAGGCCATATTTCCACTCCTGGGGCTGCAATGAAGCTCAGAGGAATTTGCCCAGGGGAAAGCAAAGGGGGAAAAAGCAAGGGGGGGAAAAATAAACCACCTATCCCCAAAAAACAAATCCTCCAAGAAACAAAGCCACACGCAGGTCTTTTTCAGAGCATTAGTGGTAGAGGAGGACAGAGCTTGTGCTGTCCTCTCCTAAGAGATCAGCACAGCATGAACACATTGGTAGAGGAAGGAAAACAGCAAGAATTAGGACAGAAGAGCCTCAGCACTAGGCGCCTCCTCCACTGGAAGCGCAACAACAAACAGTCCTTCCAACTAACAGCAAAAGCCAGTTCAGCCCCTCATATTTCAGGTCCTTGCTCATAACTGGGTTTCTACCATCCTAATCTCCTGCTGCAAAAACAGCCCGACTTTCTAGGAAGCTTTTTTTCCTCCAAGTTCAGCATCCCTTGGATTAACCTAGAACATTAAAACCTGTCTCTTCCTCTTTCGCTGGTCAATTAAACCTGATTACTGGATGTTCCTTGAAGTACCCGTTTACCTTAAGGGTATATTGCCATTCACACACCGCTGGCAACAAAAAATACCTCAAACTGTATCATTCTTAGATTAAATTCTTCTAGGAGGTTCATTTTTTCCCAGCGCAGAGGCAAACACAGCAGAGACAGTTTGTATTCCAGCCCGCAGAGCCTTCAACCCATCTCCTCTTAACACTGCCACAAACACTGTAAATCTACAAGAGCATTAACTCATTTTCCAAATGCAAACATCAGTAGAGGATCTGCTACTTCCCAATAAGAAATCCTCATGTTCCATAAGAAAAAAAAAGGAGAACGAGGAGACTTTAAACTTAGCTAACCCCACTTAAATTCCTACATCATTATCCGCACACCAAGATTATCACAACTCCTTAATGCTGCTGGATCAGAAACTCAACCTCACTTTCCTGCAGATTATGTTCTTGCCATTCCTCCGCATTAGAGGCATCTGCTCCAAACATTTCTCAGCTGCTGATTAAAGCCTTCCAGCTGAGTCACTGCGGGGACTCGCCTCTAAATCGGGACTTGTGCTGCTGAGTCAGACTGAAGCGGCAGAACACAGAAACAGTTACACAAATTCATACTGAAACTTCATTCACTACAAGCTGAATGCCCAGCTATATCAAGTATTTTGCCTTTTTTTGAGTCAAAAAGGCAAGGTTATACATGTGTAATCAGACGTATTTGATGAATTCCGCAGCACTGATGGATCAGGGCCTGTGGGGCACCTTTCAAAGTTACTATAAAACTTGGTAAGTTACAACTAAACACAAAGTTACAACTAAAAACGAGCACAATTTGCCTAGCAAAATGCAGCAAGTGAACTACCAAGTTCCCTGTGACCAACCTTGCTTGCTCGCTCTATTCCTTGGATATTTTTTTCCATGCGGCAGCAAGCTTCTCCAATCGTGTACTGACCTGAACATCCAAAGGATATTCCAAGCCATTCCTGGCTCTCCTCCTCTTTTGCACAGGCTCAGGGCTAAGCACCTCGACCAAGGCAAACTGCTTCAAGCCCAGTAGTGTTCACTGCCCTCGGGCTGCTCATACTCACGGTCCAACACAACAGTGCAGGTTTTGTCACAAAAAGCCACTTCACGAATCCATAGAGGTCCTCCCACCTTTAGGGTACCGTGGAGATCCACAAACTGAACTGGAAACGTGGGACTTTCTGCTGAAACAGTTATCACTGGGCAGATGGCATGATAGGTCTGCTGTGTTTTGGACATGAATTACTTATTGTTCTAATCTATTCACAGCTGGAAAGAAAACCTCTGGCCTCTTCTACATCCTCTAATTGACACTTCTTTCCTCAAGCTGTCAGCAGAGATGCTGTCCTAAGTGAACAAACAAAACCCTCCAAGGCAATAGGGCCAATGGGGCAGTATTAGATATTTCTGAAGTGTTTCAAAATCTAATCCTTCTCTAGCATATTCGCATTAATCAACAATTGCTTTGCAAGTTTAAGGAGTATCACTTGGAAAATCACAGCTGAAGTCTTGTGGCTGTAGCAGTATTAACAGCAAATACTAGCTAAGAATAGGTTCTTATTTATAATAAGAAATTTGAGAAGAGAATAAGAAATAAATAGATTTGTTATATACTTTCCATTTTTGATAGATTAATAGTGAAGAACAAAATGGAAAAAAAGGCACTTCTTTGCTTGGAAGATACAGAGAGACAAGGAGAAAGGGCAATTATGCATGCAGAAAATAAATGAATAAAAATGGTATGTAGGAAGCACTGTCAAAGACGCAGAAACTTTATAGCCTCAAAATTATCCCAGCCAGTGTGAAACCTCGGAAGAGCACCACGGATTTGCGGTGTTGTCACCTGCACCTTTCTGTTTGGAACCAACTCTGCCGCTTTCACCTTTGCACGGGGGCTCTCCGAGCGTTTGCCGGGAAGCAGATGGAGTGACGACCGCGGCGGCTCGAACACGCACTCCGCACGCGGGCCGCTCCGTGCTAGCGGAGCGCTTATCCGGGCGCTTATCCGGCCGCCCGGGGCGGCAGTCACCATTGGCTCCTTCCCTTCTGCTTTAGCTACCGGGAGCCAGCGATGGGATATCACGACTGGAATGCGCAAACGCTTTGCTGATGGTGCTGGCTGCGGAGGGGGATGGGGGAAAGAGCAAAAACAACATTTTGTTGGAGAGAATTAACTATTGCACAGCGTACGGGTCTTTCATTAGTCTAATATTAAGCGTCTATATTAGACTGTGTAAGTCTAATATAGAGACTCCCTTTACCTAGGCGTCAGTGTAAGAGCCCACCTAATCCTCAGGCTGGTTCTCAAAACCTTATTTTCAACTCTACCTCCTCCTAAGTTTTTCAGCCCAAATCTAAAATCTAGGTGCTTTACGTCTTTACGTTTTTGCAACCCAGTTCCCACATCCTGAGACATTCAGATTTCCTTCACAGGAAAGCAAAGTGCTCGGTAGCACTGATGGGCTCCCCAGTACAACCATCTCCCACCTGGGGCCAGATGGTCCTTCGTAACAGTTCTAGGAAGAAGAAAGAGAAAGTTCGGGTTAGTTTAGTCACAGACTTAAGGCGCACGTGAGTTACGGGAGCTAAAGTGAGAGTGCAAGATCCCAGCAAGCTCATCCTTCCCAACACAGGCTTCCCTATGGAAAGAAAAAACAAACAGCACTGCCTGATTTTTGATGAGCAAACTGGAGGGCACGCAGTGCAATCCTTGAGCCCTTAAAGGATGGAAGGGCTGGAACTTTCACTGCCCCGCTAGCCGCTTTAATGATTGAGCTCCCCTTTACAAAGTTCGTGTTTGCTTTCTGCTAAACACAAGCAAACAACGCAAAGCGGCCAAATGGCCAGTTAAACTGAGCACCCGCCAGCCACAGGAGTTTGGGGTAAGGATTAACCATTACATACTGCTCCATACCTTATTGGCACAGTATTTACACACATAGGTGGCAGAGGGAATGGGGAAGCCCTGATGACCATTTCCAGGGATGCTCTGCAGCTACCTGCAAAACACACCCGTATTCAGCCCGCGACACCCAAAGAGAGGCTGCAATGTTCTCCTGCCACTGCAAAGCTGCATTACTTGAAGATGAGGACCAAGCAGGTCTGGTTTATTAAAGAAAACTTAAAAGTTACACTTGAACAACTCAAAGGAGGAAGAGCATTAAGCTGCCAAGAAAAAAAGTCTCCTTGAAGCTCCAGCAAGGAACCGAGCAGCAGCAGAAGAAAGAACAAGAAAGTCTCTTTACCAAAGTCCCTGTCTGTGGTTAACACACGGTTTTCAGACATTCACCTAAAGGCCCGAGGACATTTTTCTGCTCAAAGTTGTCAGTCAACATTTCAAACCATAAATTAAGCTTTTCCCTGTGCTGGGCAGTCCTGCAGCCGCTGCGTATGCAGACGCGCGGCCACCCGCTTCTCCGGAAACATCCCGAGACGTGTTGGAAGAGGGACTTTCTCACAAGGTCGTTCTGACGGAGCCGCAGCCCAAACGAAGGGCGTTTTTACAACTCCTGGAGGCAGATCTCGCTGGAAGACAGCACTGCAGCTTAGAAAAGCCTAGGGAGCTGATGCTTCCCGCGGAGAGACCTCGCCGTGCTCCGCGGGGCCTGCTCGGGCCCGGCTTTGCTCTGCTGCCTCACGCACTCGGGGCCTGGCGCTGCCTTCGCCAGCGGCAGCGGGTGACGTTAACCGGAGCTGCCGGGGGTCCCGCGGCCCCTGCGCCCCGGGGGGGCCTGGCCGGGCTGCGGGGCGGCCCCTGCGCCCGCTGTCACCGGAGGCCCCCGCTCCGCTCGCCTCCAGCCCCACGGGGCCGCTGCTGTTAAACCCGAGCGTAACCACGGCCGTAAAGGCGGCCCGGGCCCGACCCCCCGCGCGGGGAGCAGCGGGGCCGGCGCTCGCCAGCGCCGTTCGGGCGGCTTTCCCGTCACGCGCCGAGTAACGAGCGGGACGGAGCCCGCACGAGGGCCCGGGCGAGCGGCGGCGCCTCCCGGGCACCCCGCGCCCCGCAGCGGGGCCGGGGAGGGGGGACCCGAGGCCGCGGGGCCGCCGCTGCAGGCGCCGAGCGGTGCGGCCGGACCGGACCGGAGCCTCCGCCGGCAGCACCGGGCTCGGCCGCCCCTCAGCGCGGCCGCGGAGCCGCCGCCAAACCCCGCCGGCCCCGCGGCGCCTTCCCCGCCGGAGAGGGGCGCGGAGGAGCCGCCGCCCCCTCCCCTCCCGGGCCCGCCCCCCCCCGTCCGCCCTCACCCATCGCGGCGGCTCCGGCGGCGGCTCCCGAGCGGCGGCGGCCACAATATGGCGGGCAGAGGGAGGGAAGGGAGGCGAGGGGGGAAGGCGGCCGCGAAGGGACAAACCTCCTGCGGCGCCGCGCGCGCCCCGCCCCCTTAAAGGGGCCGGGCGGGAGGGGGCGGCGGCGCCAGGGCGCCCCCAGCGGGCGGGGGCGGCGCAGCAGGCGCGGGGCCGCGGCCGGTTCCGAGGGGTCGCGGGCCGGTTCCGAGGGGTCCCGGGCCGGTTGCGAGGGGTCCCGGGCCGGTTGCGAGGGGTCCCGGGCCGGTTGCGAGGCGCCCGAACGCTCTAAGAAGTCCTTTTATTATAAAGTGCGTCGCCGCTCCGCGTGTCCTCGCCGGGCCCCGCTGCGCGGGCGCCGGGGCGCGGGGCCCTCAGGTGGTGCGGGGCCGGCGGTTGCCGCCCATGGCCATGAAAACGTCAATGGGGATGTTGGGCAGCGTCAGGCAGTGGCTCCCGGGGCACCGTCGCAGCTGCCTGTGCAGGAGAGAGCAGGGTTAGCCCCGCGGAGCCGCGGGAAGGGCCGTGGCGCACATCGGGGTTGCATGGCACGGCTTGGGCTGCGTTGCATGGCACGGTGCAGCGTGGCATGACATTGCATGGTGCAGTGCAGCACGGCATGACATTGCATGACGTGACATTGCATGGCACTGTGCAGCACAGCATGGCACAGCACAGCCAGGTGTTGCACGGCCTGGGCTGCATTGCATAGCATAGCGCAGCATGGCATGACATTGCATGGCCCGGTGCAGCATGGCATGGCCCAACACAGCCCAGCATTTCATGGCAGGACTTGGGATGTGTTGAATGGCACGGCCTGGCGCTGCTTGGGCTGTCCTGCATGCAGGGCACAGCTTCGCATGCCCCTATTTGGGCTGCATGGCTTAGCATGGCACAGCATGGCACATATGGCATGGCATGTATAGCATAGCACGGCACAGCAGGACGTGGTGTGGCATGGCAGGGCACGCTTCCAGCCCCTAGAAAGCCCCGTCCCCTGCAGGACAGAGGGGCCAGGGCCACGGGGGTGACACTTGGGCAGCAGCAGAGCCGCGTTGGCCAAGGAGGAGCTGGTCTGAGCGTCCCCAACACCTCGCACAGCCCTTATGTCTCCACACCCCTTGTCTCCTCATGTCCCTTTCCTGTCTGTGTCCCATTCCGCTTACCTCCCTGTGTCCCTTAATCCCCATGTCCCTTATGTCCCTCTGTCCCATACCTTCCCGTGTCCCTTACCTCCTTCTGTCCCTTGCCTCTCCATGTCCCTTAATCCACGTATCCCTAATGTCCTTCCGCCTCTTACCTCCCTGTGTCCCATGTCTTGCCTCCTTCTATCCCTTACCTCCCCATGTCCCTTATATCCCTGAATCCATTATATCCTTTTATCCCTTATATCCCCGTGTCCCTTATGTCTCTGTATCCCTTATATCCCTGTATCCTTTACCTCCCCGTGTCCCATGTCCTAAATCTTGCCTCCTCCTGCCCGTTACCTCCCCGTGTCCCTTATATCCCTGTATCCCTTACATCCCTGTACCCCTTACCTCCCCGTGTCCCTTAACATCCCGGTGCCACTCACCTTCCCGCCGTCTGCTGAGCAGCGCCCGGCTCCTGCGTTTCGGGAGCCACGGCGAGGCCGGGAGAGTCGCCCGCCTCTATGGGGAACCTCCGGGCTTGGGGGGTCTCCTGGGAGCTCATGGCGGCGGCGCGGGGGGCGCGCGGCGGCGGCCGGGCCCGCGGCCCCTACGCAGCCGGGCGCTGGCGGGGCCCCGTGGCGCACGCGGCGGCTCCGCTCGGCTCCGCAGCGGCCCCGGCCTCCCCGGCGGCAGCGCCGGGCGCTCTGTGACCCGCCGCGGGGCCCCGCATCACAATGGCACCGGGAACCACCCCCCCGCTACACCCGTTCCGCTCCACGTGGGGAAAATTGGGAGTGGACGGAGCAGCAGGATCGGCTGTAGCGGCACAGGGAGGATGCCGGAGCAACAGGGCGCTTCCCGCCTGGGCACCCTCTCCAAGGGGATGCGGGCGGGAATAGGGGAGGTGGCAGCAGGACAGGACGGCGCAGCGCGACCCCCAGCCCCAGGAGGGTCCCCCAGCCCCGCTGCCACCACCGCCCGTTTCGGCGCCCCCGCGTCCGCCCCCCGGCTCACGCGGCGTCACCTGCATCACAATAGGGCGCCCGCGTCTCAAAATGTCCCCGGTGTCCCCTGCGCCGGGGCCTTGGCGCCGGCGGGGCCGCCGGGCTCTCGCCGCGGCTGCAGGATGACCTGAGCGCGGCGCCGACGGCCCCGCTTCGCCCGAGGACATGGAGGAGATTCTGCTCGCCAATGGCTACCAGCTGGGCAAGACCATTGGGGAGGGCACCTACTCCAAAGTGAAGGAGGCTTTCTCCAAAAAGCACCAGAAGAAAGTGGCTGTTAAGATTATCGATAAGAGGGAAGGTCCAGATGGTAAGGGGCAGCCACCGGGCTGAGCTCTGGCCTCTCCTTGGAGGCTTCCCAGGAGACCAGATTCCCAGGTTTCCACCTGGGAGTTGGCGGAAAGGCAGGTCTTAGGGCACCACCAGCTCCAGGGAATGGGAGGCCTCCATGTGCTCCAGGAATGGGTGAAGGATGGGGCCTTGCTTCCCTGCACCAGCCCAGGAGCATCCCTATGCTCCCTAAAGAACAGGGCCCGGCAGCAGGATGATCCCTGGCTCCATAGGCAGGTCGGGGAGGGGTAGCGGGAGCCAGCGGCTCAGGCACGGATCACAGAATCCCAGAAGGGTTGAGGTTGGAAGGGATCTCTAGGGATCATCCAGTGCAACCCCCTGCTCCAGCAGGGACACCCAGAGCACAGGGTGGCATCCAGGTGGGTCTTGAAGACCTCCAGGGAAGGAGACTCCACAGCAGCCTGTGTCAGGGCTCTGACACCCTCACAGTAAAGAAGTTTCTCCTCACATGGAGAAGAAACTGCCTGGGTTTCAACTTACACCCATTGCCCCTTGTCCCGTCCCTGGCCACCACTGAGAGGAGCTTGGCCCCTTCTCCCTGCTCTCCCAGCAGAGTTCATCCAAAGGTTCCTGCCCCGGGAGCTGCAGATCGTCAAGCGCCTGGACCACAAGAACATCATCCGCGTGTACGAGATGCTGGAGTCGGCCGAGGGCAAGATCTACCTGGTGATGGAGCTGGCCGAGGACGGCGACATCTTCGACCGCGTGCTGCACGAGGGGCCGCTGCCTGAGCGCCGCGCCCGGGCCCTCTTCCAGCAGCTCGTGGAGGCCATCAGCTACTGCCACGGCTGCGGCGTGGCCCACCGCGACCTCAAGTGCGAGAACGCCCTGCTGCAGGGCCGCACGCTGAAGCTCACGGACTTCGGCTTCGCCAAGCTGCTGCCCCGGAACCGCAAGGAGCTCAGCCAGACGTTCTGCGGCAGCACCGCGTACGCGGCGCCCGAGGTGCTGCAGGGCGTCCCGCACGACAGCCGCAAGGGCGACGTGTGGAGCGCCGGCGTCATCCTCTACGTGATGCTGTGCGCCAGCCTGCCCTTCGACGACACCGACATCCCCAAGATGCTGGGCCAGCAGCAGAAGGGTGTCACGCTGCCCCGGCACCTGGGTGTCTCCGAGGAGTGCCAGGACCTCCTCAAGAGCCTCCTGGAGCCTGACATGGTCCTGAGGCCGTCCATCGAGGAGGTCGGCCGGCACCCGTGGCTGGCCGGCCCCTGAGTCGGGCGCCTCTCGCTGTCCCCGAATAAAGGGGACCGGTTGCTTCTGAGGTGACATATCGATGTCAGTGTTTTCCTTCTGTTCATCCACCCCTTTGCCAACCCTCTCCATGCAGGGACACGGGCAGGGGCTGGCAGAGCCCTCCTTCCCACCTCAAGCAGCATCTGCCACCTTCCCAAAGCCACCCCCAGCCCTGGCACAGCCCCCAGTGCTCCTGGCTCCAAGCACAGGAGCAGAGCGGCACGTGCCACCCCTGGGCCACCCTCAGGGCAGGCTGGGGGGGCAGCCCAAGCAGCCCAGAACCCCCTCACGCAGCCCCTGCCCCACTGCAGACCAAAGGAAGACACGAGAGGCGGCGGCTCCGTAGAATTCCTTTAATCGCCATTAACTGCAAATCTGTAAAAGGTTCCGAGAAAGTCGTCGTTACAAAACTACCAGCTGTTAGAATTGTTCCTGGTTTTCACCCCAACTAGAAAAGGCTCAGGGGGACGCGGAATAGTTCGGAACAGAGAATATTGCACAGACAACCAGAAGGTTAATTCGAATAAGGAACAAAAAGACACGGACGAGCACGCGGCGGCTCCACCGCAGGCCCAGGGGTGCGGCGCGCGCCGGGGCTCCTGCAGGGCCGCCAAGCTCTCGTGCGTGGTCCCCAACACACCATTAACGCAGCGGCTGCGCGGGCGGCTGCATTTGGGAGCCTCCTCAACAGCAAAAGAGCTCCAAGTGCCCCTAGGTCCCTGCTACCCACAAAGGGAAGAAAAGCTCAAGTCAAGCAGCTCTCCAAGAGGCAGGATGAGAAAGGCAGCGCGGATGAAACCCGTGCCGGGCAGGGTGGACACGGGGTGCGAGCTCTGTCCCTGTAGGACCCCTGGGCATAAGCAACGCCCCACGGGGAGCGTTTCGTGGTGCTAAATAGGCAGTGCTGGGGGCACCGAGACCCCCGGGAAGCGTCGCAAGCGGTGGGCAGGTGGCTTGAGCGAAGGAACCAAGCGGCCAGGGCACGGGGCGAGGGGCCCGGGGTGCCAAAGCAGCACAGGACAGAGCTCCTGCTCCCAGGGAGGCCCCCAGCAGCGCTCAGGTAAGAGCCACGCACGAGCACCTGGTTTGGAGAACGTCACCACTCAAAACGCGGCAGAGGGGAAGGCGTCAGCCCCTGGCGCTTAAAGAAGCTGCTGCTCTTGCAGCAGGAAGCAGGAGTTTCCCTCAGAAAAAGCTTCCAAGACAAAAAATAAAGCCAGGCAGAAGCTCAGGAATTGGCAGGGAGCTCGGCTCCTTCCAGCAGCGTGCAGCCTTGGGCCAAAGCCACGAGTCAAGTGCCTCTCCTCACAGCGACAAGGGGAAGAGCGGGAGCTGCTTCGGCCTCTCCGGGGCTGCCTCGGCAGCGCGGAGCAGCGGGCGAGCGGGAGCAGCTGCCCTTGAGGAGCCTCTGAGGGGCTGCTACACACACAGACACGAGCAGACAGGCCGTGTGGGGGCACCACGCGACCCTGCCACGTGTCCCAGCTCACCCGGGGACCCCTCGCTGCACCACAGTGGCCTCCACCCCACTGTCAGCCTCGGTTTTGGCCTTGCCAAGTCTCCAGGACCTACTGAGCAGAGGGGCTCCCTAGCAGCTGAGTGTTCAAAAGTGAGCGCCGCCTTCCTCCTCCTCCAGCTCCCAACAGGACATTGGAGTTGCCCACAGGATTTAGCAGGGATGAAACTCTTCCAGCCTGGAACTGCAATCCCCAGCACAGTTACACACAAAGGAATAGCCAGTCCGTGGTTTAATTCACATTCGATGGTGGAAAGGAGCCTGCGACGCATCCTGGAAGGCTTATTCCCAGTCTTCCCACTCTTCATCTTCCAGCTGCAAACAGGAGGAACAGCCCTTAGTTTTCTTTTCCTGAACTTCCCAGCCATCTCTCTGAGATCCTCCTGCTCAGGGCAGGTGCCTGACACACATCCACACCCTCATGAGAGGGATCTGCAAGATCCCAGGCTACATTTGGCTGCCTCAAAAAGGCTCCAGGTCTTTAACATCCACTGCAGGAGACTGGATGCTGCAGTAGCTGGTTCCAACTGCGGCGCTGCCCTTCCAGGCCGGCAGCCTCGCTGAAACAGGCTGCACAATCCTGGTTCCTGCACGAGGCCAAGTGTTCAGGACAACCCTCTCAGCCCTTCCCTAAGCCCAGAGGAGCCCTCAGCAACACGGGACTCTCGCTGTGACCCCAAGGAGCTGCTGAAACCTCCACTCACCTCCCCGGACACTTCCACCTTGGCGAGCGCCAGCTGCACCTCCTCTTCAGTCATGTCCAGATCAAAGTCCTTCTCCCAGTCCTCACTGATATCGGTGCTGGAGCCTGTAACCACAAACAGCAGGATTGAGCCTGGCAGGGTATAATAAAGCCCGTATATTCCCAAGGTTTGGATCTAACACGGCCTGGCCCAGGAGAGACACTCTATCCAGGTCCTATCTGGTCTCAGTCCATCCAGGATTGAGCTGGACTTCTGGCACAGCCAGGGCTGCCTCATTTGGTGCACAAGTGGGTGAGGTGGCTGCTAGGGCAGCTTCTCCTCTGGCTGTGTCATGCTGCTGTCACACAGGAAAATACAGCACATCAGGAACAACAAGAGTGACCTGGATAGGAGAACTGAAACAAATTCCAACAGGAATCACCACCTCACAGGGCAGAGGAGCAGCAGGGACACTCCAAGAGGTGACATGAAGAGAGCAGGAGCCACTTTTCCATAAACAGACCCCAGCCTGGACCTCTAGTATCCAGCAAGCCAGGGATTAATGGCACTGCCTGCTCAGTTCACAAGGAGACTTTTCATTTCTTCCTCATCTAATCTGATTCCACTCAATGACAAAACAGATCCAGGGCACAATAGCGAGCCACTTTTCCCTAAGCTTGGCTTTTCTCCAGCTGCTTTATAATCCCACAATTGGCAAAACCATTACACTAGAAGACCCAGAGCAGGCCCTGTTGATGGCAGCACCTCCTGCAAACAAAAGCTTTGTAAACAGCAGCAGGCAGAGCTGCAGCTCTGGTCGCTTCTCAGAGCTAGGAAACATCCCTGAAGGGTTTTAGCCTCCAGCCTCCCAAGGAAAGGGGCTCCAGAGAGCAAGACAGCGCCAGCACCTGCTCATAGCAGACACTGACAATCTGCAATGTCCAACCCAACAAGGAGCTGGCCCTGCTTCACTTCAGCTGTTTCTATTAGATGGTTTGGAATCCAACGCTCTCTGCTGACAGGCTTCTGTTTCCCTTGACTCTATCCCTTTTCCCAAGGGTTGCCATCAGCAGCGGAGGGTTCCCAGGCACAGGGCAGGCCCCCCATACGCACCCTTCTTGCCGTTGTTGGAGGGCGTAGATTTCCCGCTATCCGAGTTCAGCTCAAAGACTCGCAGATCCGTCGGCCCTTCCTCTTTCAGAGTCTCTGTCCTGCCCGGGGCTTTGCTCTCGGCCTCCCGGAGCTCGGCGGCAGCCGCAGGAGCGCCGGGCGCTGCCAGGGAGCCCTGCTCTTCCGCGGTGGCCTCCAGCAGCCTTTGGGAGAGGTCCTGGGCCTCGGTGTGCAGCGGTGTGGTGGGCGCAGGGGCAGGGTTTGCGATCTGAGTCACAAGGGAGATGCTCTCGCTGCTCTCCGAGGGGCTCCCCTCCGCGGGGGCTGCAGGAGGAGCAGGAGCGGCCCGGTTTTCCTCAGAGGGTCCCTTTGGAGGCGTGGGGGGGCTTCCCTCAGGGGCCGATTCCTTCTCTGCTGCTTCTGGAAGTTTCACATTTGCACAAGGCAGGGGTGACATTCCCAAAATGTCCTCTGTAGGAAGACAGAAGCGAAGCAGGAGATGTTTCAGCAAACACGCTGCAGGTAGACAGTGGTGCCAGCACCGCAGTCGGCAGTCCCCAGCACCAAGGCTCGATACCTCCGACCCCATCTAACCAGGCTCAAGCGGCCCCTCCCGCCCAGCCCTTCGGGGAGCCTCCCACATCACCCCCCTGTTCTTCCCCCCCGGGGGCCTTGCAGGGCTCACCCAGCCCGGCTGCAGCACCGGGCCGCTCAGTGCTCAGGCCCGGGCGCTGTGCAGAGCGGACACTCTCGGAGCAGTGCCAGGAGACTTGGCTTCCCCCGCGCTCCAGCCAAGCAGGGAGCAGTTGGCAGCAGCCACTGGCAGCTGTGACAGCCCAACCACTGGTGCAGCAGCTGCCAGGGAGGCAGGAACGGTTACGGTCTGGATAGGAGCCAGTTCTGCACGAGCAAGAGCCATGACCTTCCGAACTCAGCTTTGCTGGGGTCTGCGGGAGCCCTCTCCATAGATCCCTTGCCGTGCGACCCACCTTCATCCTCTTCCCAGCCTGGCTCCTCTCGGTGCATGCTCTGCTCCACTCTCTGCTTCAGTGCTTCCCTCCGCACCTCATCCTGCAGGGAAGCTGCAGTCAGGAGCCCGTCACACCCACAGGCCCTTCTCCCCAAGGCAGTCCCGCATCAGTAGCAAGAGGGACATGGAAAAGAGCCCAGAATTCTGCTTCCTGGGAGAAGGCAGCACCTTCCTCCCCACCCTGGGTCTGCATTAGGGAGCTCCTGGGCCCAGAGCACCCTCCTCCTGCCCTACCTGCTCCAGGCGATGCACTTTATAGAAGTAGCGCTGCCAGAACTCAGAATGAGAAACAGCCACGGGGACCTGGGAACAGCACAGAAAATGCAACGAGTCACTTAAAAGGGATAGCTGCAGTTGATACCTTGCTCTTCTCTGCTCCTAAGCCTTATAGTTACCCTATAACCTATACATGTCACCTATAGATTTGGGACTGAGCATCAGGTGCACATCCAGAGGTGCTCAGACACCAGAGAGCCACAGAGGAAACGTCTGCTGTGGGCCTGCAGGCAGCGAGTGAGGGAAAAAGACAACATGCAGCTTCATATCTACATGTGTTTGCTGCACAGCCACACTCCTTCAGCCAACAGCCCCAAGCAGCTCAGGGCTCCCCTGTGCCAGGAGAGGAGAACCAGCTCCTGGAATCACAACGTGCCCTCTCCAGGCGCCCTCACCATCTTGCTGTAGAGCGCGCGGATGGAAGGGCTGGTCGCCAGCAGCTCCGAGATCTCCCCTTTCTTCTCCTCTAGGTTAAATTGGGAGAGCCAGGCCTCCAGGAGCTCTGCGGGGCCTGTAAAGGAACAGCACAGAGATAGCAGCACAAATAAGGCAGGGTGAATTGCAGAAAGCTTTGTGGGAAAGATGCTACAGCCCCGTGAACAAGGAGCAGGGAACGAAAGGCAGGAGAGCAGCAAGATGCGCAGCCCGAGATGAGCTCGCCCCCAGCGGACCTCTCGCTGGCCCCTGCGGACCTCTCGCTGGCCCCTGCGGACCTCTCGCTGGCCCC